AAGAATAAAAAAACTGCTGCTGGATGAAGTGTTTTGCACAGTGCTGTGTAAGATTGTTCTCCTCTGGTCTCAGAGTTAAGGTCTAGCTCTGGTTGGAGTTACTAAAATTAGCTCCCTACTCGATATGTGACGTCAGCAATAAAGCCCGATCAATATTTCGGTATGGCCGATATTTTAGGCCGACAGCCGTTTGGGGACCAGTGTTCCCTCTAGTTAACGTGCCATGGCGGGGTGCTCATGTAGCTGCGCTAAATAAACACCTCGCTCCACTTGCGGTTTTCTTTGATCCTTGTGGGGTAGGGAGCTAAAAAAATAAAAATCTAGTCAATATATCAGTTATTGGCGTTCGACTGTGGGTCCCAATATCGGCAATGGCAAAAAATGTCCATATCGTTCGGGCTCTAGTCGGAAAATGGTGTCTAAGAAGCTCCGTTGCTTGGGGACCTGCATCAGTGACGGCCGACCTGCTGACAAGCCTCACGTGACGCTGCCGTTTCCTAAGCCCCGTACTCGCAGAGAAACGGGATCGATGGCTTCGCCTCTGTGGCCGAGTTGGCTTTGACCGGACAAATGTGAACAAGAATACGTCCAAGTGGCGGGAGAATATTTTTTAAAATGATCAGAACAATGAAGAAGACTTCACGTTTCTGTCTCCGAGCCTAAAACTGATTGTGGCAATAAGAACAGAGGCGATCCCTTTTCACTGTTGCAGCATAAAGAACTGAGAGCTAACGGCTAACGGAGTGAAATTAAAGAAGCGTCTGTCGTTCTTCATCCTGCCTCAGAAACCTGTGCTGTGCACGGCCACTCAGTGGTGTGCATCGTGCACAAAATCTTCCGTCACCCGTGCCCTTTGTCCCTGAGGCAAAAGAGCATGAATGAACACGGAAACGCCACGTGGACTATTTGATGAGTTCGGCCCGGTTGCCGGACACTGCTAGTCCCGTCATCGTAGCCAGCGCCTGAGCTGTGTGTTACCGTATCCTTCGACATCTTCCACGCTGGTTCTGGACGCCATTTTTGTTAAAGCTGATGTGGACAAAAAGCACCGGAGGAGGCCATTATGGTGGCGTATGCCGCGGTGTTCGCCCCACACCCGGGTCTTTGGGGATTCCCCACAATTCATGCGACGTCATCCCTGACCCGTGGCATTAAACTTGTTCATTCGTTGGTTTGTTTGTTCTCAGGTTTGACCGTATGGGCTCCGGGGGGCCCCTGTTCATCGACATCACCTGGCACCCGGCAGGAGACCCGGGCTCGGATAAAGAGACCTCCTCCATGATGATTGCCAGCACAGCGGTGAACTACTGCGGCCTGGAGAGCGTCCTCCACCTGACCTGCTGCAACCAGACCAAGGACAAGATCACAGCTTACCTGGCTAAGGCCAAACACCTGGGCCTGAAGAACATCATGGCCCTGAGAGGAGGTACGAGCGCCAGCAGAACCAGTCCAATCAGGGCGTGGGCCGGCACGTACTTTGAGATAAAAACTGATTTCACAGCTGCTGGCCTGAAATTCTTAGAAAAGAAAGAGCAAAGCTGAATTTGAACTTCTGAGAAGAGCCTACCTGCCTGGACAGGTGTGAACCGTTCCAGCTGGGACTTTTCTTGTTTTAAACTCAAGTACACGGGCCAGAACTCTGGGAACCCTCATATTGTTCAGTTTTAATCAAATACATAAAGTTTAAAGTCCAGAAATGAGCAGAAATACTTAAAAAACTGCCTGAGGTCCTAAAAGCCGCCTACCTGTTGTAGGACGGACGTCATGGACAGATTGTGTATCAGAGTGGTCCGATCCCTCAGAAACACCATCATTATCGTTTGCTCTTCATCAGATGAACTACTCATCGCTTTAACTCGTTCCAGCGCTTCTGTGGCTGTAAATCCACCGACTGCAGCTCTTTCACCCACGATTTGTGGAAAAATAGAAAAGAGATCTTGTTCAGGAGTGAAAAATAAAATGTGTCCATTCGCTGAATAAAAGCCTCGTTACAAGAGTGGGTCAGTTGTTGCCAAAGCTGAACCCAAGAGACGAACTGATGAAACTTTACGCTGTCGTTTTAGGTTCAAGTTTAGAATCGTAGCGCCTGAAATACGATTTCAAAATATCAAACTTTGGCTTCCTTTGCCAAATATGAGTGAAACTTCTGAGGTTAAAGGAAGCAGTGGACACGGCGGTGGGAGTGTGATGGTGTGTTGCTGAGTGTCTTGAATCAAAGTCTCCGTGTTTTGCGACGCCACGCAGAACCTTCGGTGAACATCGTCACATCTAATGTTTGAAAAGATGCTTTTAAAGAAATGTTCTTGCAGAGCCTCGTTGAGGCGTGACGTTCTCGTTTCTCCACAGACCCGGTGGGATCCGACTGGGAGGAAGAGGAGGGAGGCTTCAACTACGCCGTGGACCTGGTTAAACACATCCGTTCGGAGTTCGATGAATACTTCGACGTGTGTGTCGCTGGTATGTTGACGGAGGGATGAAGAGCGTTGAGCTCTGGCGGCCCACGGGCTGAGCACCACCAGATTACAGAAACTGGGATTAGACATGTCTGCAGCAGAAATCCAAACGGGCAGACGAAGTGGTGTCAGGTCGATTCTGGGAGTCAGATTCATGCGCAGGCGTCACCGCAGGGCTTTGGTTTGTAGCCGGGTGCGTCTCAGCTCGGTGGTTGAAACCTGCGTTTGTCTCCAGGTTACCCCACCGGTCACCCCGAGGCCGTGAGCTACGAGGACGACCTGCGACACCTCAAGGAGAAGGTGGACGCAGGCGCAGACTTCGTCATCACTCAGCTGTTCTTCAGAGCCGACACGTTCCTCAAGTTTCTGGACGACTGCAGAGCGATGGGCGTCGCGTGTCCCATCCTACCTGGAATCTTCCCTATCCAGGTACAGGTGTCTCCTTCCAGGAACAGGAACGCTGTCAATCATTGTGAGGAAGCTGTGAACCTCAGGCTGATGTCCTCTGAGGACGTTCTTAGAGCTGCTTTAAAACAACTCATGTTCTCACAGGGAACTCGTTAAGGCTGGATGTTTATGGCAGCAGAGACACCAAGGACTGTAGAGTCCTGCTGAAAGTAGGACTCGAGTACCGTCATGGTGCTGGGGTGATCTTGATCGGGGTGTCAGACTGGTTGGGTCTCCAATGGCTAACTGTCCTCAGGAATGGTAACAGGGTCCCTGCAGGGCAATAAAACTAACGTGCAGTGATAAAATGCTGAAAGTGCAGTGACCCTCGGGGAATTCTCTGCCTCAGAACTTATCTCCTGCTTCTTTACCCAGAATGTTTTATTGTTCTCCACATAGAATCCAGATAAGAGGTTCAAGTTGTCGGGCTGCTGTTTTTACATAAAGACCTGCGTCACGTTTCACCACAGCTGCTCCTGATTTATTCAGACCGATTCATGTTGTAGAAGAAGACAACCACACTATGAACCACCTTCTGGTGGTCTCTGAAGCCCCTTCCTAAAGTCTTTGAATGTCCAGGATTCTCACAGTCTGGTTCCAGGACAAGATTAAGTCCCTCCCCCTCCATGTAAATGAATGAACGATCCCAGATTAACATGCAACATGCTGAACCTTGTGTCCCCACCTTCTCTTGTTGTTGCCAGGTAACCCACCAGTGTGTTGTATTTTTGTAACCAGAGTCTGCACACTAGCAATGTAAGGCTTTAAGTCATCGTCCCCCCCCCTCGTACGTACAGTCATGGTGTTGGATGGCCTGTAGGCCTGTCACGATAATAAATTTTGCTGGGCGATTAATTGTCTCAGAAATTATTGCGATAAACAATACTATTGTTTGAAATTTGACAATAATTAGTAATTATTGTCAAATTTAAGAAGGAATGTTTAATTTGTTTTGAGTGTAGTACCTTTCTTGACCACCGGATGGCAGTATAAGACTGTTTGAACCGAAGGATGGATGGTGAGGGAGAGAGCAGCGTGTTAAGAAAAATGGGAGGGAGGCCTCTTGACGTGACCTGGGCTGTTTTTCTGTTCTCAACATGGCGGACACTTGGTGTGGTTTGAGCTCTTTAGCATTTTTCACACAAAGTTTTAATTAAAAATAAATAAATCGGTAAACAAGTTCTCAGCTTGTTTTTGCAGAGAAAAACAACTTTTTACACGAAAGGCACGAGTTTCAACTGTGAATTTTGGAACTTCGACAAGACGGAGGTTTTTTCCTGAGGTCGGCCTGTTAGCTTAGCTCGTAGCTTAGCTCGTAGCTTAGCTTCTCAGCTTAGCTGCTTTTAACGATCCAAAAACGTGATTTGTGACGTTAAAAGGAGATGCTGTGAGACACGTCTGCTGCCGGCACGTTTATTAATTTTGCAGCGGGCCTCATTTTTGTTTCTCGTTTTGATTGACAGTCCTAATAACTCTGGACTTTTCCCGGTCGTTTCCAGGGCTACCAGTCCTTACGTCAGCTCGTCAAGCTGTCCAAGCTCGAGGTTCCAGAGGAGATCACCAGGGTCATCGAACCCATCAAAGACAATGATGCTGCCATTCGAAACTACGGGATCCATCAGGCGGTGGAGATGTGTCGGGTTCTGTTGGATAGTGGGAAAGTGCCGGGCCTCCATTTCTACACACTGAACCGAGAGGTCGCGACCATAGAGGTCCTCCGACAGCTGGGGCTCTGGATAGAAGATCCCAGGTCAGCCACGACTGACGTGATACGAATCTGGATCTGCAGAAATGTTCTTTCTATATATTTCTATATTTTAATTAGAGCCTCTAAAAGGGTTCTGTGGTGGACTAACAGGAACAAAAAGTAAACTGACGGGAACCAACACTTCCTGTTGGTAACAAAAAACTGTAGACTGATGTTTTGTTAATTCTCAAGGTCGACTGGGTCGTCAGAAACCATCAGTCACTGGTTTTAATCCAGACTCGCAAACATTAAACTGGCACTTTTAGATTTGCAGCACCTAAAATAACTGGTTCCCATGGTTCGCTTCCTGCCCGTTGGAACTCGTAGTCCAGGTCCAAGGCAGGTCAAACGGTTCTTCGTTGGACATGGTCTTAAGTGTCGGCTCTTGTTTGTTTCACCAGACGGCCTCTTCCCTGGGCAGTGAGCGCACACCCCAAACGGAAAGTGGAAGACGTTCGACCGATCTTTTGGGCCTCGAGACCCAAGAGTTACATCTACCGGACCCAGGACTGGGATGAGTTCCCCAACGGCCGATGGTAGGTCTGGGCGAGCGCACGTCAAAGTCACGCGAGTCGTGTTTTTGTGAACGTGTCCTGCCGCTGCCTCCAGGGGAAACTCGTCCTCTCCGGCGTTTGGCGAGTTAAACGACTACTACTTGTTCTACCTGAAAAGCAAATCGTCCAAAGAGGCTCTTCTGAAGATGTGGGGCGAAGAGCTGAAGAACGAGGAAAGTGTTTTTGACGTTTTCACCTGCTACATCACAGCCCGGCCGAACCGAGAAGGACACAAGGTAAGAACCTCTCACGGACGCCGTGTCGTAAACCACAGAACGTTTTCTTACTCTGGTTTTAAAAACAGCTGAAGTCGGGCTCTTCTGTGAAATCCTGATTTGGTCTCGCAGCCGGAGCCGTTCGTCTGTCGACAGTTTTTGTCTGAGCTCTATAACCCTTTAACAGAAAGGTCAAAGTTCACTGCAGCGCACCTCCATACACATCAGGATGACCCTATTGATTTCAAGGTCACAGGTGACCCTTGGTTAAAACCTTGTCTCAGCTCCAGCTCGACACCCCAGTAACAAAAATGTCCAACCTTCTGTCCCCAAGCTCGTCCCCATCTGTCCATCCATAAGACAGTCCACAGGAAGTTGTCCATGATGCAGCTCCACAAACGTTTAGGACAGAAACTCTTCAGACGGTCATGTTTTGATCAAGACCACTTCAACCAAAGAAACCTTGAGTGGTTCTGGTGAGTCCAGTCCTCTGACCAGAAGAAGTTTGTTGAGTTCTTCACCAGTTCCTTGTTCTTTAATTAAACTCTTGGTGATGTTCTCCACGAATCAACGATCATCTAGCTGACCTTTGACCCCACCGCCTTCATGTTTGTACCTAACGAACACACGTTCAGGGTTGTTGTTAAAGCGTGACACTTGTGACGAGGTGCGGCGGACCCTTGGTGGTCCTCCTGGTCCTCTGTGGCAGGTGATGTGTTTGCCGTGGAACGACGAGCCTCTGGCCCCGGAGACCAACCTTCTGAAGGACGAGCTGGAGAAGGTGAACAGACGAGGCGTCCTCACCATCAACTCGCAGCCCAACATCAACGGTAAACCGTCCGGAGACCCTGTGGTGGGCTGGGGGCCTGCGGGGGGCTACGTCTTTCAGAAGGTGGGGGCTCAGTTCAGTCATTTCTGGATAAAAAAGGTTTTGGAAAGTTAAACAGTTCTTCATCCATCAGGCCTATCTGGAGTTTTTCACCTCCAGTGAAAACGTGACTGCCCTCCTTAAAGTCCTGAAGAAGTATGAGCCCCGCGTGAACTATCATATCGTTAACGTGCACGTAAGTCTGAGTAACGAGGGTCCTGCTGGGCGGTCTGTGGGTTTGGCTGGTTTGTCTCATTACTTTGTGTTTTAGGGCCAGAACCTGACCAACGCCCCCGAGATGCAGCCCAATGCTGTGACGTGGGGCATTTTTCCCGGCAGGGAGATCGTTCAGCCCACCGTGGTGGACCCGGTCAGCTTCATGTACTGGAAGGTAAGGTCCACCAGACACCAGGACCACTGGTGTGGAAGTTCAAGTCTCTTGTTCCAGAGGGGCTGCTCAACGGATCAGGGCCGCCTCCTCAGTAATGAGGTCGTTGCTTCGGTCTGCCGCATGTTTGTTCACTCCATGAGTCTTCCTGTTCATGCTTTTCTCTTCGTCCCTCCAGAGTTTGTCCTTTTTACAAAAAACTGTTCTTAAAACACAAACTCTCTTTACGAATCAAAATTGACCAATAAAAGCTCGTGCTAACAGCGCGTGCTAACAGCGCGTGCTAACAGCTCGTGCTAACAGTTAATGCTAACAGCGCGTGCTAACAATTCGTGCTTAAAGCTCGTGCTAACAGCTCGTGCTAACAGCTCGTGCTAACAGCTCGTGCTAACAGCTCGTGCTAACAGCTCGTGCTAACAGCGCGTGCTAACAGTTCGTGCTAACAGCGCGTGCTAAAAGCTCGTGCTAACAGCGCGTGCTAACAATTCGTGCTTAAAGCTCGTGCTAACAGCTCGTGCTAACAGCTCGTGCTAACAGCTCGTGCTAACACCTCGTGCTAACAGCGCGTGCTAACAGTTCGTGCTAACAGCGCGTGCTAACAGCGCGTGCTAACAGCGCGTGCTAACAGCTCGTGCTAACAGTTAATGCTAACAGCGCGTGCTAACAATTCGTGCTTAAAGCTCGTGCTAACAGCTCGTGCTAACAGCTCGTGCTAACAGCTCGTGCTAACAGCGCGTGCTAACAGCTCGTGCTAACGGCGCGGGCTAACAGTTTGCCTCTCCCTGTTTCTTCAGGACGAAGCCTTCGCCTTGTGGATCGAGCAGTGGGCGAAACTCTACGAAGATGAGTCGCCGTCACGAATGATCATCAAGTACATCCATGATAACTACTTCCTGGTCAACCTGGTGGACAACGACTTCCCCCTGGAGAGCTGTCTGTGGCGCGTCATCGACGACATGTTCGAGCTGCTCGACGCGCCGCTGGAGACGCACGGTGACGAGACGCACGGTGACGAGACGCACGGTGACGAGACGCACGGTGACGAGACGCACGGCGACGAGACGCACGGCGACGAGACGGTCCCTGAATAAATTTGACATTAAAAAGGGAAAAAAAATCACTTTTAAAGGAAATAACTTTATTGGAATCCTTTGTATGTTGTAGAAAAGTGCCTTTAAAAACATATTGAACAATATTTTTAAAGCTTTTTATGTTTGTAGATATTAATGGAAACATTTTATAAAAAAAATAAGCTGAACCGTTTCATCTGATTCAAATATTCAGATGGAAACTTTTCTCTGTTTTCATCGTGGTCGACTTCTTAAAAAGGGTCCGTGCGCCACAAACAGAATAAAACTGTAAAATAATATTTCACTTCAAAACAATATTGATCCAGACCGATCAAAGAAGAAATGACTGGAAACACAACTGGAGAAATTAATCTAAATTAACCCCACACGAAGACGTCTTTATTTTTCTCCATATTTTTATTTATTCATTTGTTTTTAGTGTTTTTAGCAACAGTTTCCTAAAAACGTAAAAGTTCCTCTGAAATGTTTGAACTTTGTCAGAATTATTTGAAAATCTCTGATAAACACTTTAAATTTACTCTGTTGAAATCCCATTATAAATGCATTTTTGATCCCATATTCATCAGCTCATACAATAATAATAATAATAATAATGTTTTAATTTCACCTGAAATATTAAATAATCTTTACTTTTGGTTTATACGTTTTATCCACGTGATGTTCTACATCCGAGGACGCTGAATAATCGAGGTTACCCACGAGAGGCTCCTGTTCTGTGCTCGGGCCTCCCGTGGAGTTCTGCCTCGTCTCGGCCGACAAAACGTTTCGGTGGACGCAGAGCGCAACAACGTGCGTGTTGTGCACGAGTAAACATCTGGAGCAGCAGAGCCACGTGCTGATTCTTGTTGGCTCGACCCAAAGCACGGCGTCCACGTGAACCGGGCTGCCACAGGTCTGCGGGTTCATCCAGCGTAAAATACCAAACGTGCACTGTGCACGTTAGCGTGAGCTTCGTGACGAGCATCTATGACCAAACTCCAGCTGCAGCTCCAAACTAATTTTTTTTCAAATGTGAAAAAATATTTTTGGGGCGTTCTGAGCGTGAAAGGGTTAAAAAAATAATAAAGTTTTTAAATCTGACGTTTAATTTCAGGCTGACGACGCGTTGAAAGATTATTTCAAAGTGAAACTAATATTCTCCTGCAGGAACTCTTTAGGGATAAAAAGTTTTTTTTTTTGTTCTTTTTTGCACCTAAAGCTAATTTACCATCCGTTTAATTTATTAAAGCTGTAAATATTAAACAGCTTAAAGTTCACCCAGAATTTTTGTGAGGAACTGATTTTAAATGTTTCCATTTGCTAAAAACCTGATTTAGAAGCAAAGCTAAAACAAAAAGAATTAAAATTAAAACATAATTGTACAAGAAACGTCATCAAATGAAGAAGAGAATCTTTATGAAATTAATTTGACAAATAAACAAACGTCGACTCTGATCCAGAGATTAAGAAATGATCACGTCTTTATTTTCCAGTTTTTATTTTCCAGTTTTTATTTTCCAGTTTTTATTTTCCAGTTTTTATTTTACAGACTTCTTCTGATTTTGTGGCGCCAGTTTCACTCCGTAAACCTCAAGCTTTTATTTAGTCTGAACGTGGAACCGAACGGTTTCCAACGCTTCAGGTGTTTGTTGTGAACGTGTAATTTATTTAAAAGTCGTGTTTAACCGGAGACTCGCCGAGTTTCAGTCGTGACGTGATGAACGTCGGATGTTTCTACACGAATGAGCGGAAAGTTTGAAGGAAGTCCAAATAAAGAAACAAGACTTTCATGTTTCTCATTTATTTATTTAAATCAAGCTTTTAATTTCTGTTTTAACGAGTCAAAACTTTGAACTTTTATATATTTGTTTTTTCATTCAGTTACAAGAAAACAAACAAATCCGTTAAAAAAGAAAAACATTGAATGAAAAAGTGCAGAAAGAAGAAAATTCTCATCCTTATTAAAAATATATAAAATAAGTACCAACTTGTATATTTAGTTTAATTTATGGTTGTTGATCCGAGTCGAACCATGAACTCTGGATGTTCTGGTCCGTCTATGATCCAACCCTCACATGTGGTCAGGAGGTCTGGACCAGGACCAACAGAACCAGATCCTGGATCCAAGCAGCTGAAATGAGCTTTCTTTGTAGGGGGTGGAGCCTTAGAGACAGGAGGAGGAGCTCCATCATCTGGGAGGAGCTTGGAGTAGAGCAGCTCTTCTGGATCTAAAGGAGTCAGCTGAGGAGGTTCATCTGGTCAGGACGCCTCGAGGTTTTCCATGCACCTCCCTCTGGGAAGAGACCCTGGACCAAACCCAGAACTCTGGAGGGATTATAGATCCTCTGGTCTGGTACTGCCTCAGGGTCCTCCAGGAGGACCTGAAGAGACTGAGGAGGTCTAGGTTCCTCTCCTGGACCTGCTGCCTCCTCAACAGACGGGCCGTCGTGGCAGAAAAACTCTTTACAAATGATGTGAGGAGCAGAAAAAGTCCTGGCCCGGCAGCTGGATGGGCAGAGTGTCTGCAGCTGCGACAGGTGGGACCAGGAGCAGGTGTGAGTGGGCGTGGCCTAAACAAACAGTTATTGACATAAACCTGACCATTTTAATCTTGACCTGGGACTTGATGCGCTCGAGTAATTTTCATTAGAAACAAGATCATCGCTTAGATCTCTGTTAGGAAAATATCTAACAAACCTGAGAACAGACTGAAACTTTCAGGTAGTCCTCCCTGGACGTCCATCTGCAGCCGAAAGAGTTGAAGGTTCAGAAGCGGCTCAAAGGACTCGTAACGTCTGGAGTCGGGTCAACGGGAGCCGTTGGAAACGTTTTCAATCGAAACGATCTGAGAGGGAACGTGGAGGACGGAGGTCCAGCCGGGTCAGAGACACGAGGAGCCTGGACCGCCGCTCCTCAACTTAAACTGAAACTGTCGTGAAGGACTTCATCAGTTTCTGTCCGAGTCAAACTCCGACAGCTGGAGTCAAACATTCCTCAGCTTGTTTGTGTGAAAGTGATGTCATCGGTTATGATGTCATCGGTTATGAGGTCATCAATTCACTGAGTTTTTAAGCACAAATATTCAAATACAAGTTTTTTGTAGTTTCCAGCTCTTTCTCATGTGCGCCTGCTCTTAGTAACCTTTATTACACTTTCTACACCCGTATTACACCTTATCACACCCGTCATATCCCATTGAGGTCACAGATCTCTTTTAGAGGCCTGGGCCTGAAGGCAGACTAACATGCATGTTTTTGGTCTGTGGGAGGAAACAGGAGTACCTGGAGAAAACCCACACAAGCACAAGAAGAACATGGAAACTCCACCCAGAAAGACCCCAGGTCCAACCGGGGATTGAACCCAGTACCATCTTGCTGTGAGGCAACAGTGCTAACCACTGAGCAGTCGTGCTGCCAAATCTTCATACCGACCTTCAGCTGAACACCGTTAGAAGCCGTGTCTTTCTTAAAGAACGGCCGTCTACGGTGGTCAGTGAACGTTACATCTGGACCAACATGACCACAGGTCCAAAGTTCGGGTCAGCACGCCGAGCGCAGCTCTGTGGGGGTTCTCCACTCGGTTGACCATAAGCACGACGACACATGGATACATCCAACCATCATGACGACACGGATACATCCAACCTTCATCATGATACATCCAACCTTCATCATGCCGACACACGGACTCATCCAACCTTCATGATACATCCAACCTTCATCATGATACATCCAACCTTCATCATGACGACACACGGACATCCAACCTTCATCATGATACATCCAACCTTCATCATGACGACACACGGACACATCCAACCTTCATCATGACGACACACGGACACATCCAACCTTCATCATGATACATCCAACCTTCATCATGATACATCCAACCTTCATCATGACGACACACGGACACATCCAACCTTCATGATACATCCAACCTTCATCATGACGACACACGGACACATCCAACCTTCATACGAGCTGAAGCCTCAAGTTGACCCGTGGACACAGACCGGGTCGAACCTGATCAGAGACCTTCAGTTGTAAAGACCTGCGCTGAAAACAGGTCCTCTTTCATTTCTGGGATTTTATATGTTCAATGTTCTGTACTTGTAGATCACTGCTCTGTCTGATCAAGACACTCAGAGCTCTTTACAACAATCTGTCCTCATTAACCCGTTAACTCATTAACCCGTTAACTCATTAACCCGTTTACTCATTAACCCGTTTATACAGAACTCCACTAGATCTGTACAGACACTAATCAGAGTAGATCACATTCAGACACATCGGAGACAATGAGGGGTCAGCGTCTTGCCCAGGGACACTTCAGCAGGTGACTGAAACATGGAATCGAACCCCCAACTGTTGCACTGGAGGACGACTGCTCTAACCACTCAGCCACCGTCGCCCCAACCAGATGTGTTTTTAATCTGAAACCATTAAACTTCGGCCAGCCAGATGTTTTTACAGACATTTTGTGAAAATCCCGGCCTGAGTTGAGGAACTGTTCTGAACCGAGCAGCAGAGACACACACACACACACACCAACACACACGACACACACACACACACACACCAACACACACACACACACCAACACACACACA